ATTCATTTTCGTAAAAATCTGATGTGTCCAACACATGACTTTCCTATCTAGTTATTACAGGCTTTTTCCCTTTATTGTGTACAACCTATTGCAGCATCTCTATAAATGTTTAGAGGATAAACTAAATATATATACAATGTCCACATACATCTACCGCGAAACATTTTTCTATAGATATTCATTTAAAATGAAAATACTGAAAAATTTAAATTTAGCACTTTTCCTACAATTTTTCCATTACGGTCCATTTAAAAAAAATCATGTATGAACAAATATTATAGAGATCGATATCGCAAACAACTTTTATTTCAACAATTTTCATAAAAATCAGAATTTTGCACATTTTGTCAAATTTCTCGAATACGGACCATTTCAGGAAATTTTTATATAAAACAAAAATTATAGATAATAATATTAGAAGTAACTTTTATTTGAACAATTTTCTTCTCCAAACATAAATAACAGATATATTCCATAAAATATATAAACGGCCTCCCATGAAGTACCCCCCCAGATGTTCCGACTTTGTCCAAAATCTAATCATTTCACGTCAGGCCGAAATAAAACTTAAGTTTAAAATTTATTGATTTTTTCTTTATCCGTTTTTGAGTTTTCTTCAAATTTCGAAATTTACACATTTTCTCAAATATCTCGAATACGGTCCATTTTAGAGAAATTATCTATGGAACAAAAATTATAGAAAATTATATTACAAACAACTTTTGTTTGAACAATTTTTATAAAAAAAAATATTTTTTACATTTTGTCAAATTTCTCGAATACGGACCATTTTAGGAAAATTTTGTAAATGAGAAAAATTATAGATAATAAAGTAAGAAGTAACTTTTATTTAAAAATTTTTCTTCCCCAAACGTAAATAACAGATATATTCCATAAAATATAAAAATGACCACCTATAAAGTACCCCCCCAGATGTTCCGACTCTGCCCAAAATCTAATCAGCTCATTAGACGCTGGAATAAAGCTTAAGTTTGAAATTTGGTGTTTTTCCGTGTATCGGTTCATGAGTTATGCGTTATACAGACACACACACACACACACACACACACACACACACACACACACAGACACACACACAGACACACACACAGACACACACACACACACAGACATCATCGCGAAAATAGTCAAAACGGATTCAGGGGACCTCAAAACGCAAAAATCCGTCGAAAACTCGAGGTCGAAAAAAATCATGATTCCTATACTTTCCTTATATCTGTATACAGATAGGAAAGTAAAAATGCAAAATCTGTTTGCCTTCAATCACTGTCAAGTACAAACTAAGTGACGCAGCTCGCTGAAAATTTGACAGAAGTCACTTGAAAGATAGTTTTTACGAAAAACAATTGCATTTATTCCTGGCGCCGCCAACTCTTGCCGAGGCCGATTATTTCTCAGCTCAGCCTCGTATCGCTAGTATACAATAAACAAGATAGATTAGAACTACTTTGAGGTAACCATGTATTTATTTCTTTCAAACTAGAATACGCATCCGAGAAAGAGATGGTGGAATAAAACGGAAGAAGATCCAAGAGCAATTACAAATCATAAAAACTTTAGTATTGAATGAAGATAATGACTCTTTTTGTATTAAAAAAAAAAAAAATAACATTGTCTCTAAAACCTATGCACCGAACCTTTGCTACAAACATTAGCTGGTTACTGGCAGATTCTCCTCAACACCTATACCGCCTACTTATTAATTATGATTTACATTCGATACCGGAACAACATAATTAACATTAACAATCCAGTTGCCAATAATACACTACACACGAGATGTAAACAAAGTTCGAGGTCACTATACCTATAGTTATTTTTAGATTTGTATGATCCTAAGTAAATACCTCTTGATACAAATACAAATTAGAAAAAATGAAAATTGCCAGAGGTCAACCCCAAATTTACGAGTTTACATTTAAATATAACAACCGTTTTTTTCTCGTTAAAATTGCCACACAAATGACAAGAATATGGACAGAATCAATATTATTTTTCTATTAATGATTGTTTTGAATTTCTTCATATTCAATATTTTTAAAATTATGCATATCTACTTTGTTAAATTAGCAACATGTACAAATTCTTTTGCAACAAAACACGTGTCTTATACAAAACGAAATAACATCACAATTATCATAGCACGTGTCCGGTTGTATATAGACGCTTCATAATGCAAATTCTGCGAATTTCCAATGAAAATTATATTTTCACAATGGAGCAACGTGGAATTATATCGAATGCAGGAAACCGGGACGATGATGAAATCAATTTTGTAAATCGTTTGAAGGGTAAGAAGAAAAAATAAATTTAATCATTGAATGGGAGATTACATGATGTTTTTTTTATACATACTGGATTTTCATTCAATTAAATAATAAAATATTGTGCCACAGTCACACGAGTGTGAAATAGGTTTTCGCAAACGCAATAATTAATAAAATATTTTTTTTTTGTGTTCTCTTTTTAATTTACTCAAACTAATAATTGTGACTTTAACTAGCTAATAAACTTTATTTCGAAAAGAATAACTTTTTGAAAACAAGATAATATACCTTTTTTGCCTTATTGATAATATATTTCATATCCATTCGACCTAGTAAGAACACTGCAAAAAAACTAAATCCACCAGTCACAGTTCATATTTTGGTCAACCGGCTACTATTATTTTTTTTAAATTTTAAATAAGTGATAATTCTGTCAAACTAATTGTCAGTATATTTTTTAGTTATTGAGATTAAATATACAATAAAGTTATTATTGTGTAGAATCGATAAATAATAGTATTTCTATTATTTCGCTTATATTTACAAATAAACCATAAATTTTAATAAAGCTATGAAATCAATTTAATTACCAGCATGTAACGTAATACTTGATAATATTTTATCTATTTGTTATAATGTGTTTAAGCTCAATTGATTTTGGGCTTGGGTTAGGTTATTAAATAACTCGAATAACTTTGAAAAAGAAGTTGGGCACCACTATATTTAAAACTTACTATACTTGACTTTAGATTAGTGATAAAAATATTGAAAATCAGTAACCACACAAATTATATTTAAACCAAGTTTTAGATAAGGTAGCAAATTCTAATTCACATAGTTTTACTAAATTCAAATTTAAGATGATTTATTTATAACTTATCTTTAGTTAAAAGTAGGAATATGGAATGTTTATTGCATGGTATATCTTCAGGCCTTCATCAGAGAGATGATTGTCTCAAAATAACGAGTAACGGTTCCAACTGTTACAAGCATTAAAACTAAAATGTGTAGCGATGGAGCAGTGAATTTGGCTTTCATGCTGAGGTACAGTGTTCAATTCTAGGATTGGAGACTATCCACTCTTATTGCACAAACTACTATTCTAAGCACAGACTACAAAACGAAATCGTAGGCCATTGCGTTCAACTGAACGAATATATTTCATATTCATTCTAGTAAGAACACGGCACGGATATGAAATCCACCAAAAACAGTTAATATTTAGTCACCAGGTGAAACTAATTGTCAGTACACTTTTATAGTTATTGAAAATAAATATATATAAATTCCTGCGACGACAAATTTCCAAGTATTTGTTTTCGCCTTTGAGGTTCGGGGATGGTCTTACTAATTCGTAGGGGGATTTTTGAGATGTTTCCGAATTTTCAAATTATTTAGCCACTTATTTCAGATATTTCTGACTTGGGATTTCGATTGGCGATTTATTAAATTTTCAATTTTCAAAGTTGAACTTCGTTGAGAATTTTTAGACAAAAAAATCTTCCTTATCGACTAATTTATCCTTTTGGAGCAACTGTGTCAAACATCTAACAAAAATAATATTTTGTGCTGGATATTTATACTTTTCGAAAGAAAAGTAGTCTTTTATTATTCCCTTAAAATGTCAGTTTTGTATGTCAAACATAAACCGTAGTGTATACTTATTATTAAAGTATTCAGCAGAGTTGTCAAACATAAATATGGGTAATTTTAACGAACACATTTTAATGTTTTTTTTTTTAAACCAAACTTATTCAAAAACGTTATCTTCATTTAATTATAAATAAAAATACTGAATTGCGAAATAGGAAAAAAAACGTGATAACACCCAGCAGTCGACGATAGACCTTGATATTTTATCATTGCCACAAGCTCTACCAGGCAATAAAACGAAATTAATGTCTAGTGGCGTTATTAAATAAATCCATAAAACGTAAAATATTGGAGAACAAGCAACCAGTTGTACGGTAATCACGTTTATCGGGACGAAGTGTGAATTATTTGACGGATTACGTAAATGTAGATTTCAAAGTCGATTCCTTGAGAGGACATGGACATCTTAAATACTTAAAATTTAGATGACCTGTTTGTCGTCCAGGAACTTTCTTCGGTGAAATATGATCTGAAAAGTCAAACTACACGTTAACTGAATATGATCAATATTCGGTGTTACTTTCCCTAGGCACCTCCAAAGGAGATTTTTTAGACAATCTTAACGCGATGATCATTTATTCACAGAGTAAACCTAGAGTGATTTGTGAACTAGACTCGCTACCTCATTTGGCAGACAATCAGTTCAATAATTGTTACCTGGCTTAATCATATTGCTCCTCGGTCCTCGCCTTAGTCATATTAATTGATATTTTCTTAATTCGTTTCTATAATACCTGTAGTTGAAGTTGTTAAGGTCATATGCGCAGAAAATAGCAGTTCGTACCGGTTTTTCGACGTGATCACTTGGATATTAATACATTATAGTCGAAGCTGGGAATTTTAAGCTGTACCCCTAGATCTGTACCTACAGAAAATTATAAATATTTAAAATATTAAAACAACTTTATACAATGGATATTTTCAAGAATATGAGTAAAAACATTAGTGTTTATACTTATATTTATTTATATTATTCTTATATTCCAGCTTACTTTTATATTATTACATGAGAATTATGTTTTATTCTTTCTTTACTGACCTCCGTTCATTTCGTTTCAGTTGGGCATCATCTACAGGGATATTAAATTAGAGAACATCCTGGTGGACGAATCGGGTCACATAGTCCTTACGGACTTCGGACTGAGCAAGGAGCTCCCTAGGGAAGAAGCCGATCAAAGGGCGTATTCCTTTTGCGGAACGATTGAATACATGGCGCCAGAGGTGGTCAAGGGTGGCACGCAGGGTCACGATATCGTAAGTATTTTTTTTTTCATTTATTTAGCATACATCACCCTACAATATTAAATGGATGAATATGTAATCGAACAATATAAACAGCAAAATAAGTTATTTGGTTGTGGAGAACTGGAATTCATCCTATCTTTGGATTACTCTTTAATTTCTGCTTCATTGTGATAGACTCAGGTTTCGTCCATAATAGAATACCGATCTAAAAATCATCATGGGCAGAATCAATATTTTGGAAGTGATCACAGAAATTGGTCTTTCAGAACGGTACTGCAACCAAGTGTTTAATGGTGGTATGTAAAGGAGACCGATTTCCTAAAATTTCTGTCTTCACCCGAAAATCCTTTCAAAAATAAATATTTAACTGACCGAAACTCACTAGCTTTTTCTCATTCGTTAAGAAAGACTTGGTTTAAAGAAATAAATGAAAAACAATCTTTTAAAGGAAATAATATATAATTACAAGAAGCAGATTTTCTAAAATTATGTGAAGATATTAGAAATTCTATCTGGGAGCTTATTATAAATGAAAAATCAAATGTAAACCAGGCCTTAGATATTTTTTATAATATAAGGGATAAAATTATAGATGATCCTGTTCCCAAATTAGTGAATGAAAACTTTAAAAATATCCGATCTGGTTCACGTTAGAAATTAAAAATCTATTGAAAGAAAAAATTAAGATTTTTCCGATTATTTTTTAATCTGTCAAAATAGTAAAATTAATACAGTTTAAGACTGGTTAATCTTAAGGCTCCTCTTCACGTTGGCCAATGCGCTGGCAAATACTATTGGCAATATTCATGACCAGCACGTAGGTAGCTTTGTTTCTTACTTTTATACTATGTTTATATACAGGGTGATTCGTACCTAGGTGGAGAAGCAAACACATTTTTTAAATTAATTTTGTAACACCTTGTAACTCCGTCATTATTGACTTTGGACCCCAAATGTGGGAGCTGGTTGAACACAACTCACCAAGGACATTAAAAATAAGTAAAATAATATATAGAGTTTCACCATGTAGAGTTACGAATCACTCTGTCTAGATCAACTCATTTTCAAAGTAAGCAGCATACAGTGGTGTCGGTTATTAAACGTTTTCCAATAGGCTTTGCTACTGTTCGAGTGAAAGTGAAAACTACAGAATAAGCATTAGTTGCGAGCGACAAACGAATATAAACTTTAGGAACAAGCAGGAAACGAATAATATCAACGTAGCCAGCCGGCAGTGTGGCGATATCTCTAGGGCTATTCCTATTCACTTTGAATAGCGCAGACGGCCACTTTGATATTATTCGTTTCCAGCTCTCTTCGAGATTAGCAAAGCGTATTGGAAAGGGTTCTACATAGTAAATAACTTTTTTGTTATCTTCTATAATTACGGAGATATCATCGTTATCACTCTAAAAACTAATTCTGTATAATCAAATAAAAATAATAAAAAGAGAATTTACTTTTTTGATCTTTAAATAATATTAATTTATTTATTATATACAGATCTCATGTTATTGCTTTTGTCAAACATTTTTTTTTTTTTGTTTAATGAATCCTAAGTGTGATGTAGATTGATGCTACTGTAATAAACTTGGCCGAGGGTTGATAATAAAGTCACACAGATTAAATATCCACTCAGGATTATTTAAATAAGTCAGGATTTACTTTAGTATTACTTTTATTGTAATAGCAACACAGTGGGATTCACACAGAACAATGAATAATAAAAATGGCAACTGTCATATATCATTGTACAGTACCAACTTAAAATATTAAATATTAGTTAGGCATTTTATAGAGGTTTTAACACTACTAACTTTATTAAATTACCATAGTGGCAACTTTGCACAAGTGCATCTCAAAACTACAGAGAGTTAACAGAACGTGCAGGAAACGAATAATCTCAGCTTTGCCAGTTGATACTGCACGGCCAACGTTACAACGCGGTCGGGCCGTTTAAACAAAACGTAATCGAATGAAACAAGAACTTAAATAATTGCAGAGTTCAAACGTTAAGAAATACAAACTTTATCGTAATCACCCAAAATAAAAAATGTATGCTACGCCTTAAATTCGTAATAAAATTAGCTTTCAAATGAAGTGCCACACTTAACAATAGGTATCAGTTTTTTATCAAAACGTTGAGTTGACCCTCACGTTAAGAAATACAATTATACTACGCATTAAATTCGCAATTAAATTAGCTTTCAAATGAAGTGCCAATCTTTGCAATAGGTAACAGTTGAGTTGACCCTCAGATTTTCTTTGATTGCTGTCATTGGGACCACTTGGTTATTTTTGTTATTCGTAGTTGAATGCCATTTCTCTAGCCTTGCCATTTGAGCAGATATATGTCTATCAATGTTTGTCCTTTTACCTGCTTTACCCAACATCACTACAAATGATACAAAAATATCCTGCAGGCAGATTCCCATTGACAATTCGATATCGAAATACTAGATTTCGTCAGTTTGGTGAGTTCCGATTTGCGGGAAATCATATTCGCATCGACTAAAACGATTGCGAGTCACTCGCCAGCTCTATGGTGCCGAATTGCTCGATTTCTGTAGATTATTGAGATTATAGCATAGCACGAGGTTGTAGCCTTGTTGCGGTTGTAGAAAGTGAAACAGGTAAATCGAAGTTTGGCTTAAACTTATGTTATACGAAAGTCCAATATCTCGTTGGTATGACCCAGTTGCATAAAAACGTAAAGCAGTAAAAATCTTTAGAAAATTTGGCAGAGAATACAAGATGGGGCTGTATAGTATCAATAAGATACCTGGCGGCTTCTTTTTTCAATCTGTACAATTCAATAAAGCGTTCTTCCGGAAGCTCAAATGGAATGCTGTGGTCCCTGAGTAGACGCCTTTGTAAAACGAGGGCTCTGTTTTGCTCCCTGTGTCTTATTCGTTGTATTCGGTTATTAAAAATTGGTAGCATACTTGTGTGGGCTATTTATTATAATTCACTTTCTAACAAAAACACCAACAAAAATAAATACCAAATACCGTTGCTTTAATTACATATGTCAACTGTCAATTAAAACGTGTACTGCGCATGCTTGCTACGGATTTTACGGGTTTTGGAATCGACCAAAACGCAGGGCAACTCGATAGCGAATAGGAATAGCAAATTTCTCGATATCGTATTTGGTTGCGAGTATTGAAAGCGATTCGATTTCGCATTTCGCACTGATTTGGAATCTATATGCTGATAATGCTCCAGACATTTGGCCGATTAGCCCGAGCTCCATCTTTTTCTGGCTGACCACGTGTCCATTAGTCTATTCTCTGGAATGATGAATGCCACTTCACATTTCCTTTCAGTGTCAGATTGGGACCTCCAGGGCCTACTGGTCAGTAGGGAGAAGAGCCCGCCTTTTTCACGGTCCCAGTTTCATTGAAGAGCAAAAAAGTCCTTTCTCATTGAAGATCAAAAAAGGTTCTCTCTCAATGAAGAGCAAAGAAAAGGGGCCTCCCACGTATTATTACGAGGACCCACTTACTGACCGAGGGCCTACTGTTTAACGCTAAACCGACGGCCCAATCCGACAATATTTCCTTTACAACGCTGTTACGCCGTTATGAAAGTCACTTAGTTATTTTTGTTATTCACGGTTGAACGCCATTGGACCAGACATATTTCCATTAATTTTTGTCCTTTTACCTGCGTTACCCAACATCACTACACATCGCTTCGTTTTTCCAGTATCGTCATCGTCGCCTATTTTTGACCACCTTGCTCACTTTTATGTTAATTATATTTATTTTATCACATCCCACTTACGAAACTTAATTCTTCTAAAGTAATTAAGTTATTTTATAGTTAGTCTACTAGTAACATTAATTTTATTGTTAATTTTACGTGCATTCATAAATGCCGTTTTATCATTGTAATATTGGAGACCGTCTAAGATCTTAGGTTTGTATGTTGCATTTTATCTAATTAACTTATTGTCGTCAACTATCATTATTATTTATAGGCTTGAAAATGGCTTTATAGCAGAAAGTTTTGTTTGTCTTAAAAAATACTACCTTCAAAAACTTAGTTATATTACCGTTCAACTTTTATTGTTTATGTTTATTTATAAAACATAATTGTTTCCAGGTCAACTAGATACCAACATCTCGTACTCTAGACATTTTCCGATACAATTTAGCAATTTTTTTTGTTTTTCGGTGTACCAAATAGATTCCCATATAGACGTTACTTGTCTAATTATCTATTGTGTTCGAACGTTGTGCCATAGTGATAAAAAAACCATTAAGTTCGTTTAACTATGAAGCAGTAAAACTGTGCAACGTTAATGAGGCACAAGGATTAAATTGTATTTAGTCGGTTTCGAATTTAGTTTGATTGAGTTATTAGAGAGAAGGTAAATGGTTCAATCAGCATGTTTGAAGTGTTTTAATCCAATATAAAACTAGCAGTAAATTACAAGGAATATATTTTTTAATGCTAGTTAAAATAGAAGGAGAGTTCTAATGTTTAACAACAACCTTCATGTACGGAGGGCTAAATGTTAGTAAATTAAGAAAATATACATGGAGAAATTACACGTTTTTGAGATTAGTAATGTTGGAAAGCTACAACCTTTATAGTTCCAGGAACTGTATCTTTTCTCACAAAACAAACCACAACGATAAAGTGATAGATGTGCCAATCAAATACTTTTTGGACCTGGCCCTTCTATTGGCCTGACAAAATCGGCAGTGACAGACCTAATCAAAGAACATTCTCTTGTGAAATTCAAGGAAAGATGGGATGAAACAAGAAACTGTAGAGTTGCCAGAGAGCTCTTAAGTTATCCTGACAACACTGCAGCAAACAAATACTTGACTATGACTAGACAGAATCTGCGCCTAGTCACAGGCATTCTGACTGGTCATTGCCAAGTACGAAAGCATCTCCATATCATGGGGCTGTCAGAATCCGCACTCTGCAGAGGGTGCGAACAAGAAGATGAGACCATCGAGCATATCCTTTAAGCTCGACGCTCTCATTTA